CTCTCTCTCTCTCTCTCTCTCTCTTTCTCTCTCTCTCTCTCTTTCTCTTTCTCTCTCTCTCTCTTTTTCCCTCTCTCTCTTTCTCTCTCTCTCTCTCTCACTCTCTCTCTTTTTTCTCTCTCCCTCCCTCCTTCCTTCTTCACTCGTCCCTCCTCTATTCTTTTTATTTATTCCTCCTGAGACCCCGGCGGGGTGCGGGTCGTCGCGGCGCTGGATCGTGATGGAGGGTCAGAAGTCACCGGCGGCGCGGGGTTGGGGGCGGGGCCGGGGGCCGGGCGCCGCTTGGAGCCGTTTGAAGCTGCCTGAAGCGCGGGCCACTTCTGGAGGGAATGGGGACGATAGACGCACCGCGTCGAGTTCCGCCTCCTCTGCTCCGATTTCGCTTGCGTATTACCTTTTCATCGTCAAGAGGTCTTTTCTTCATCTTTTGTGGTGGTTGCGTGTTTAAGTTGTGGAAGTGCCGAGCTGCTCTTCCAGTCTATCGACTGTTTCTCTAATCTCCCTACAAAATCTCTCTATCCAATTGTCATTTTGGGAGGTCGCAGTTTCGTTGGTAACATTAACATTGCCTGCCTCCGCAAACCCTCCGACCGGTTATCCTACCATTACTGTTTTAGGGTCTTTCGCTCGCCACACAGCACGACCTTTAGATGAGTTCGGAACTGTTCAGCTAGTACCAGGATAGCGGTACGCGTTTTTCTGAGGTTATTCGAAAAAATAAGGCAGCTGGGCGCCTGTGAGATTCGGGGTAGGCCAGCCCGCAGTACACGCATGCTTTGCCGGCGAGATGTTGCCTAGCTACCGGGCGCTCTATGAGAGCTTTGCTGCAGCTGAACCTCAGCAGGTCCGCAACGGTGAATGGTGCACGTACTTTCTGGATGACCCATACCTTCCTACAGAGTGGCCCCACAGACCCTAGAGCCAAATTGAGTCCTGTACCGGGTGTAACTGAGAATGCGCAACAGTGTTGCGGGATTGCATACCCGCCAGGGCTGCAGGGGCCATGGCGCCTTACGGGCTAACTGGGTAGGCAAACCCGCAACACTGTTGCGCATTCTCTGTTACACCCGGTACCACATGCAGGCGTGTGACCGCTTTGCCTACTCACACGGGGCCATAAGGCGCCGCGGAGGGAGACGGTCGGCATGGCCGTCCTGCTTGCTCTCCCCCGGGGACAACGCTGGTCCGGTCCATCAGAAGAACTGCGTAGGAAACCAACAAGACCAAGAGTGAGAGCGACTCGGCACCACTACCGCTCCCCGCCCCGCCGCTGCGTCCACCCGAGGCTCTGAAGGAGCGTCATTTATTTTTCTCACCCCCCCGCCCCTTTTCCTGGTCTGCGCCGCATGCGGCCGCACTCCCTCGCCCCGCCCCTCAGCCTCAGCCAGCTACTTGCGAGAATGTGCTCCTAATGTATTACGTTTATGTCTGCTGAGCGGCTCGGCTGCCGGGCCTGCTCCGCCCCGCCCGCTCCGCTCCACGATTGCCGAGGCGAGGGGGAGGAGAGTGAGCGCGGTAAACTGTTGCTCTCTCCGTCTGTGCAGCGCGCCCGCCGCCGCCCCCGCTCAGCCCCTTGTCCGTCCCGACTCTGTTCGGCTGTTTGCGAAATCGAGATCCTCCGCCTGCCATCCCCTTTCCCCCCGCTCAGCAGCGCACAGCACACCTTTCGCCCCCCCCCCCCCCCCCCCCCCCCCCCCCCCCCCCCCCCCCCCCCCCCCCCCCCCCCCCCCCCCCCCCCCCACCCCAACAAAACCCCCCCCCCCTCCCTCTCCTCTGAGAGCATTCCGCGTTTCTGCAAACGTGAGCGCGGTGCCCTCCTAGAGGCTCCCCTCAGGTGCCTTTAATATTGGCCTGGCCGACCCTGGCCAGCCCCCGGTGCGGCTCTGGGAGCGAGAGAGAGGAGGGCAGGAGGGGGGGGGGGAGCTTGTTTCGGAAATTCACGTCTAGGGGTGCATTGGAATGTTAGGAGGGGCTCGGCGGTGCCGTGGGGAGCCAAGTTCCACCCGCGAGTCTTCGGCGTGCGGAGCCGACAGTGAATGCAGTGCCCGTCCCTACTCTCCGGCTCACCCTCCACCTGCCCTGCTTTACCTGTACAGTACAGCCCCTTCAGCCACGCTTCCGTGAGCACTTCCGGTCTACAACAACCCCGCCATCGCCCCTATCCCCTTCTGCCGTGTAATGAAGAGGCAGAGAGGCGCGTTGCGAAAGACAAATGTTCGCTTAGGATTTTTATTTTTAAATAATGATTGTAACGAAACACATTCAATCCACTTCCTGTTTCTGGGGATCACATCATCCCCGTCGAGCGTGCGGGTGTGTGTGGTCTGGCAGTGCTGGCCGAGCTGGCTGTCCACGGCCCACAACGCCTGCCACCATCAGCCCTGCTGCTGCTGCAGGTCGGCCGGCCGGCCGCAGGTCTGCCGCAGCGACAGCGCTGAGGTTGCGCCGCGCTGGGGTATGATGTGTGGCTTTGTTCGCCGTATAAACTTACTTTGGCAGCCCTTAATTGTGATTTATGCCCGCGCCTCCGGCCTCGAGCAGCAGACCCCCTCCATCCCCCCCCCCTCTCTCTTTCACGCCCCTTGTCCGATTTGCGGCCTCACTCCCACCCACTTCTCATCCCTGTCTCTCTCCTATTCTCTTCACCACCGCACCTCGTACTTGACCTACAAAGCGCCAGTCCCCCTGCCCTTTTTTCCTCACTCTGCGGTGTTCTAGTCAATTTTACTTGTCGTTATTGTCCTGTCGTTATTAAAAAAGTTACACATCGCTGCTCAAAAAACTTGTTAGTTTATTTTATATATGTTAATGGAAACAATTTTGTTTACTGAAAGCGCCATAAATGTGTTTTTGATACTTTGTAAAACTATGTCATAAGAGTCAATTTACCATCGGTGAGAGGGAGTCATTAAGTATGTTGTAAGATGTGCCTAATTTGGTGTAAAGAAGGGTCCAATTTGTGTAAGTTTGTGGTCGTCTGCACTGCAGAAAATCATGTCAGAGTTGTACTTTTTTCGTAATAAAATAAAACAGTTGAAAGTCTGTATTGCTTTTATTCTGCCCAGCAGCCCAGGACTGATTGGCGCGGGAGTGCCCCGGCCGGTAGTGTGGCCTTGCGCTGTAAGGGAGGCCCGGCCCCCCTCTCCCGTTCCCCCTTTCTGCTCCGCTCTGCTAGCGACTCTCCTCGCGAACACGGAGGCACACCTAATTTCATCACGAGAAATAATTTATTCTCGGGACATCCCCTCGCACTGGCGCGCGAGGAAGCCGCGGCAGAGATAGCTGTCAGGCACTCCCCCTGTCAGCCGGAGGCGAGTGGAGCGAGAGAGAAGAGTGGGGGGAGGGGGGGGGGAAGGGGGGGCTGGTCGCACAGGCAAAAAAAATTGTGATAATAAAAGTGGAGACGGATACTGGTTCGTGTAATGGTCGCAATGATTGCGCGCTCTGTCCTGCCCTCACCAGCAGCACCGCTGGCAGCGCTGGCTCCCCCCGCCGGCAGAACTTTTGATTAAATTCCCAGAAGACATACCCCCCCCCCCTCCTACTCACCCCGACCTCTTTCCCCTCCGGCGCTTGATGGCCGGGTCTTAGGTGGGACGACAATGGCTAGATGATTTGTATGCCGCAGCCAGCGCCGCCCTGCCCGGCCCGGCCCGCGGGGCAAAGTTAACAGTGTGGAAGTGTGAGAAATTGTGGACCCGGCGGAAGCAGCAGCCGCCCCGCACTGCCCACTGCCAGGGCGGGCGTCAGTGGAATTGGTACGCAATAACAGAAAATCTAGGCCAGTGTAACCTGGATGTGTAGTGTAACAGGTGTCCAGACGCGTCACGGTGTCGTGCTACGCTATGGGGAGCGCGGGTTCATAGCTAGTCATGGATGTATGTTTTACCACATTTATTACTCTCTCTACAAACCGTAAAGGTCTCTGGAACACACATTCACATACATTCGTACACACACACACGCAGACACGCTCGCACAAATATACAACATGACACACGGAACACAGCGCATTTTTTTTGTTAAATACAGATATACGTACAAACTTGGCGACAACACACTGACATTGATGAACACAGATAATACAGGGGAAAAATAAATCGATAACAAACAGAAAAACAAATATTCGTTGTACAGTGTACAATGTACACAACGATAGAATAAAACATTATCATGTACAATTCGTCATAACCCCTCTCTCGCTTGCCCGTAACATTGGTATTGGAGACAAGGGCACAAAAACACTGACGCCGGCGGAAGCATCAAACTTCCACCGAAAAAATTAAACAACGAACAACATTTTGATTTTGGGGCTTGATCCCAGCGGGCGCACGGCGCCGGTCGGGCCGCACCGGCGGTACACAAACACAGTCCATGTCGCACGGCGGGCTGCTGCCGGCGGGCCGAGGGGTCACTTTGGGTGGACCCGGCCGGGCGGCTGACTCCCCCGTCCCGGCCAGGGTGGGCAGCCCGTGGAGGCCGGGGAGGAGGAGAGGACCGCCGTGGCGTCGGGCGTGCCCTCGGCGCCCTGGCGGTGTCTCGGTGGCGTCCTGTCGCGGAGTCCTTTAATTGACGAGTTTCTCTGTGCGGGGCCGCGGCCGGAGGCGGAGTGGCAGGCAGGGGGCGCAGGCCAGCTGCGTTCGCCCCACCCGCCCCCCGACCCGGCCGGCCGGCCCGCGGCCCCCCGGGGGACTAGGGTGGCCGGCCACCCCCTCAGGATCCCGCGGAGCCGGCGGCAGGGCCAGTACCCTCGAAGCCGTCCACCAGGGTCTGGATGATCAGCTTGATGGTGACCTTGTAGATGTTCTCCACATTGGCGGTGTAGCGGTCGCCCAGCGTCTGTTCCACCGCTTTTAGGAACGGTCCCTCGATTTTCTGAAACGAAGAAAGAGAGAACGCAAGAAAATTAATTAACAATCTTTATAAGACGACATTTTCCACTTTCTCTTTCATCTCTATAGCGACCAAAAAAGGGGCTAAAGTAATGCGGACGCGGGTCCACTTCCGCATTTATGAAAAAAAGCATCGTCCTTGTTTAATCCGATTTTTTAATTCTCTGTGTTCCATATAAGAGGAGCGAGGGGCAGATTTAAACATTTGCCGAACGAGCATGAAAACCGAGCTCTGCTCGTGTGCAGACCAGAGGGGGAGGGAGAGGGGCGCAATTACCCTGATTAAGCCTTGCTTCCCCCCCTCCCCAATGTCCTCTTCCAGCTGCACCCTTTCCACACGTCGTCTAACATTTGCACAGTTCGTAAATGAAAAAGACATTTTGAGAGTATAGAGCTTTTGGCGCGTTACCGATCCGAGAGGGGCGGTGGAGGGACAAGGATGGGGGAGGCGTCAACACCCTGTTCACTTGTTTACAGAACGGGCGACACAAACAACGTGGCGCTTTCGCTTTCAAATGGGAAGTTTACACATGGCTCTAATTTTTTGTTGACCGGGTGCAGTTCAACTTCGTAGTTGAAATAGCTTCATTTTCCAGGCAGCTTGCCGCGTGCACATATTGGCGGAACAAATGGGCATGTAGATTAAGTCCTATAATCATGGATGAAAGTGCCTGGTTTACCTAGCCGGGCTAAGCATATTACGCTCGTTGCCAGAAAGCTTTCTCAATTTGTTTGTTAATTGAAAATGCTGTCTGGCAACTTCAATAATTCTTTGGAACACAAAATTAACTTTGTCCTAAGAATTAAATTTGTTCTGTTACTTGAATTATCATCCTTACTGTGGTGGGATCGTACCGAAAGTGCGTCCTTCGTCTGCCGTTACAAAATACCTAAATTGAGGCCATAGCGCCTGCTACATAGGCAACATCTTGCATGTAGTGCATGCGTGCATTGCGGGATGGCCTACCCCGAGTCTCGCAGGCGCTGAGCTCCTCGTATCTTGCCGAATGATAGAATTAATCTGAGAAAAATGAACGTAATTTCTAGACGAATCCCTAAGGAGAACCCCTTGAGTTAGGGTGAATCATATGTTCGAAAGGTGGCTGGAACTGGGACAGACTAAAAGACGAGAGGGGGCTCAGACGGTGGGGAAAGGCGGTCGGGGAGATCTACTCATGGCTGGGGGACCCTGGTGGTGCAGGCGACGGCGGAGGGGCCAACACGGCCATCAACCATCTGACTCCCCCCCCCCTTTTTTCAACACGCGGTCTCCTCCATTCCCACTACAAGTGGAGCCGGAACCGCCACCCTCCAGCGGTGCATCGGGAGCCCAGCGTCAGCCGCGCACTGCGGGGCCCGCCCAGCCCCCGCTCAATACGGTGATTAGAGCTCGCCAACAACTTGTATCTTCACAAAAATAATCGTTTTCAAACAAAACATTTTACATTGTGGAGCGAGTAGGCAAACCGTTTTGGAACAAGAGATGTTTTAATTTTAAACAATAGTAAAAAAAATCCTATTTTATGATTTTTTTCAAAACAATGCAAGCGTCAGTCAAAGTTCCGTTTCGCCAATTTTCCAGTTACTAGTCGTACACAGTTACTATTGGCGGGTGTGCAATCTGGTGGTTGTGGGGCCCAATCCCTGTATTTACCCATTAACTCGTCTCGGGCGCCGCCATAAACTGTTCAAAATTTTGTAGCATACAAAAGTGGCTACGGAAACGCAACATTGTATTTTGTTACAGAAAGGTTCGGACATTCAAAACATGAGGAAAACCGCAAGTGAAAATTTGGGTCATTTCCGTATCCGCTTGCTAATCTTAGTTTGTAGTAGTTTTGGCAGTTTAAACTGTAGAACTAAAAGTTTGCCAGTTTTAACTGTCGAACTTTTTAGTTCTACACCAACAACGGGCAAACCGTTATGCAGTTGTTGGTGTAGAACTAAAGAATCGAACTATGGCGAACTGCTAAAGAGTTCTAGTTACAACTGGCAAACTTTTAGTTCTGCAGTTACAAGTGGCAAACTTTTAGTTCTACAGTTTAAACTGGCAAACTAATACACACTAAGATTAACAGAGCGTATAATCACGGAAGTGTCCGTACACAGTATTTATGAAAAGTGACGGGGGTGAATGAAAATGACAAACGCAGGAGTCCGGTCAAACTGAGTCCGGAGATCAACTTGTTGGGTCGTCCCGCACATGTTAAAAATGGTCTAAACCGGCTAAAACATTTCCGGTCGAAAACCATCACAATTTTAGTCAAAAATTTTAACAGTGGAGTCGCTTTGCTTCGCAGCCGGAACAGTGCTTCGCGGGATATTGTGGGGCATGTTGCCTGAGACATGGTCCGGCTATGCGATCTGGGGGGTAACGCCTTCCCTCCAGGAGAGCACCGCGCCGCCCGCGCCCCATGACTCACACCACACCACACTATGCCGCGAGCCGTGCCGGCGTGGCGGGCGGACGGAGACGGGGAGAGAGCTCCAGAACTAAACTGAGGGAATTAACTGGGTGCGCAGCTACTGCCCCCCCCCCCTCTCCCCTCCCTTTTCAGACCGCAGAGCGTCGCCTCTGTTCCGCCGACTCCCCCGAAAACTTGCTAACAGTCTTATGGAGGCGGGGGCCTGCTGGGCCCCTCGGACAGTGCGAGGTGGGCTTTGCACCCTGTAATAATACTCTGCCGCACTGAATTTTATTAATTATTTCCATGGTGCTCTTAATGTAGCCAAAAACGTCTGGGGCATTATTCATTTCTTCAACATTAATTAAGGCGAAGGACGTTTTCCAGGACAAATCGTACAAGGGGTTTTGGGTCAGGACCGCGGTGCGGTGGCGGTGGCGCGCACTGGGTTAGCTTGTTAACAGGAGCCGCCCCCTAAAAGTTGGTCAGGTTGGTCTACCGCAATTTTTTTTCTTCTCTCTTTCGTTTGGAAAACGAGGGGTTGCGAAGAGTTGGGTGGAAAGGGGTGGGTGGGGGGCTGACTACAGCCCTGGATTGGATGGCCAGCACGAGCGCCCCGCTTACAAATGTGATTGGAACGGGGAGCGGAGGCCTAGCCCGGCTGGCGGGGGGAACAACCATTTAAACTACGCTAAACATTAGTGCATATAATTTCTCTAATTCTCTCTCTCTC